ATGCATGCAAAGATAATAACAATAATAATAGTAATAATAATTTTGATAATTATTAAAACTGAATATTAAACAACAATAAGTAATAATATATGAACAATAGTAAAACAATGTTATAATATTACTATTACTTAAAATAATATTTTTATTACATAAAATAATATTACTAATACATAAAATAATATTTTTATTACATAAAATAACACCAAAAGTAATGATAATAATAACCATCAATGAGCCCAACATTTTACAAACAGTATCTCTCCAAAAATAGGCATAAAGATCAGTTTTAGTAATAAGGTTTAGTGATTTAAAGTGAAGAGGTAATCTATTCCATGATTTATGCATTGGTTTGTGAGTTATTGCCGTACATAACTAAATAATGATTGAGGATATACAATTTATGTTTACTAAACGACAGAAGATAATAACAAGAACTTTTTATAGCAGCAAAGAAATAACCGATTGAGGGTAGTAGGTTAACTGATTCTGATTTAATAGATGATTCTGATTTAATAGCCTGATTCCAGATTTAATAGATGAACAAGAGCACACTTCAATTTGATGATTTTGACAATTTTGACAATTTGATGATTTTGGAAGCTCAAGAATATTAATCTTTAGAAGAAAATTCTTGAAAGTTTTAAATGTTTTGATATTTTTAAAAACTATTGGTTGATAAGTAGTGCATAGAGTATTATGTTAGTACATATTAAAGTGTTTTTAATATGTTTGAGAAATGAAATTTATATTAGATAAAAGAGATATGCTTTTTACTATTACTATATATTTATCTTTAGAAATGTATATTGCTGGTTTAATAGTTTTATTGTGCTAATTGGTCATATGGTTCATTGTTATCAAAGTTACACATGTTAGAAGATCGTATTATTTATAAAAAAATAGGGTTTATAAAAAAAAAGGGTTTCGATTTATAAAAAAATAGGGTTTTGGATAAAGAAATAGGTTTGGATACTTAAACAAGGAGGCGAATTCATTTATTACGAGTTTAAAGAAAAAAGTCTTCTTAAATCACACAATCAAAAACTAACCCTATATACAGAAAGCTTAAAACCAACCTTGAGAAAAAGAATATATTGCAAGTATAAATTTTAAAAAAAGAATGTCTAAATAATGTAAAAATTTATATGTAAGAAATTAAAATACAGAAACAAAAAATAAAAAAAAACAGAGAAACAAAATACTAAAAAAATATATGAAAATTACTAAATACATTTTTTTCTTTGTTGGTTGTATTTCATACTACCAGATAATTCTTCTTTTCCCCTTACCCACCCGTTTATTAAATAACTAGATTTATCTTGGCCTTATTTTCAAATATTTTAAAAAATTGATTAGTATATAGTTCTCTTTCTTGATTTGATGAGTAGCTCCCTAAAAGTCGTTAACTTATTGCTTGTTATTTAACGATTTTTAAAAATCTTACACCAGTTATTAAAAACCCTGGGGAAAGAACTTTGAAATCTTATTTTAAATTTTATATTTCGTAGCACTTTAAAAGTAGTTAAGGAATCGTCCATAAAATACGAACGCTCGGAGAGGAAGAAGGGTCTGCAAATGTAAATATATGAGATAGGGGGAGGGCAGTAGGTCAATCATAAAAGTTTGGAGACACTAAATTCTTAATCCTTTGTATCCGCCCTAAACATAAAATTCAATATCCCCTTGATATTGAATTTTAATTCAATTTAATTCCTTATTAATTAGTAAACTTTTAGCAAAAACTCAGATATATTTTGTTTACAAATGTCACGTCACATAAGAAATAGGAGGCTGGGGTCAAGGGGGTTACAAAAATATCACAAAACCGTTTTAGGGAGGGAGATATCAAAAAAGAGCAAAAAAAGTGTCACATTACTAGAGCAGCCTTATAACTACAAAAATCAAATCTCCAGGTTTAATTTTAAAACATTAAAAACAAGCAAGATCAAAAGTTTTTTTTAATTCAACATTTTTTTGTATTTAAGGGCATGAAATAAGACATGCACAAAAGTTATACTCATCATTTGTATAACATTAATAGTTCAATTAAAGAGCTAAAAATATTTGATAGTATAATTTTAATGTATTATAATATACACTAATAAAATCTCTAAATTTAAAGTAAACATGTTTGAATCTGTACATTGGTTCAAAGGCCAGGTTTGCTAGATTGTGGAGCTTTGTATCCCATGGGAGAGAAATAAGTTTATATAAAATCTACTTTTAACAACAACAAAATCTTCGATAAATTTTATTTATCTCTCAGTATTACATAATTTAAAAAGTTGTATCATACTGATTGAACTTTTGATTTAATTATCAATCAAATTTCTGAAATTCATCAATATAATCAATCTGTAGATTATTAGCATATACCATTTATACATAGAGTTTGTCTGCTTTATACAACCATAGTTTTTAAATCCTAAAGTTTTTAAACTTTAAAAAAATATAAAATCTGGTTTCAGCTTCTGTCAAGTAAGAACATGATACTGTGCTTTTAATGATCAAATTGTTTTCTTGAAGTGTTTTATAAAATAATCTAGGAAAAAAAATGTCTTAATTAAATTAACAAAGTCAGCTATTAAATTTACCCCCACTTTATCAATATATAAAAGCATATATAATACTAATAAATATCAATAAGCATTGTCTAACTGTACACTACCAGCTACAAATGCAATTTGGTATCTAAATTAGTAAACCAAACCATATTTAAGTATTTTTTACAAGACAATAATTGTCGTCATAATTGTTGTTCAAATATTTCCAATATTATAGGGTTGAAATATTGGAACAACTAATATGACGACAGATATATAGTATTCTAAAAATAGTACATATAAAAAATAGATGTATTTTAGATTTAGTATATGTAAAAAAACCGAGTAACATTTTAACTTGATTAATTTTTAGTTTAATATAAAACAATAAAATTAACTTATATTTCATGTAAACTATGTGTTTTTAAAAAATGTTCGTCTCGTTTGCTCTTTTTAATTCCTGAAATATAATAAAACTTTACATAGCTTATATTTATGTAAACTGATTATGTAATATTGTACGTTGTTCTCTCTCTCTCTCTCTCTCTCTCTTTATATATATATATATATATATATATATATATATATATATATATATATATATATATATATATATATATATATATATATATATATATATATATATATATATATATATATATATATATATATATATATATATATATATATATATATGTATATATATAAATTAGTAAAACCACTTATCTAATTTTTATTTTCTTCTACAGCTTGTTTGGCTATCAGTAGGATCATCAGGCTTCCTGACAATCCTACTGATAGAGAAACAAGCTGTAGAAGAAAATAAAAATTAGATAAGTGTTTTTACTAATTTATTATTGCTCTGTTCTTTAAGAACATTGAGCACTCTATATGTAGAATACACAAACATAATATATATATATATATATATATATATATATATATATATATATATATATATATATATATATATATATATATATATATATATATATATATATATATATATATATATATATATATATATATATATATATATATATATATACTTGTTTTAATTTTATTACATTTTTCTATCCCTAATTTTATAACATAATTGATAAAAATGCACCAGAACAAAATCAAGAAAAAACAAAGCTCTTAACAAGCTAAACGAGTTATAATTTTTACAGAAAAATTAAATTTAAGCAACGACCAAAAGAAGGTCAAAGTATAAAGAAAGTAATAATAATAATAAATTTTTTTTTTTAAATTTGTACAGTTAGAAATTCTCAAAATTTATTTTAAAAAAATAAACAAACCACTCAATATTGCAAATAAAAGTTTTAGCCAAAATACAAATTAAAACTTTTAAAATAATTGGTTAGCGAATTTATTTATTTACTAATACAAAAAAGGCATTTATTTATTGATTTAGATCAGTAATATGGTTGCAATATTAATTTTTACAAAAATAAACTAAAAATAACAGTTGCTATATAAAAAAGATTACGTAGCTAAAAGCCGCAGTCGTTTTTTAAAACACTGCAATTTCTATAAACTTCTGGCACATGCGCACCTAAACTTAACGCTTGTAAACGACCGTGGGCGCGTCGTATATATTATACTAGTATATTTATTTAATTTATAACACATACAATCAGTGGCGGATTATCCATTAGGCTGAGTAGGCTGAAGCCTAGGGGCCCGTCAGCCATAGGGCCCGGTTCGGAAGATGATTGCAAATTTTTTTTACAGCAAATATCGATATAGGTATGTATCATGGATAAATGAATGTATCAGAACCAAATGTTATTTTTAAACTAAAAAATCAATTTTGTAGCCCAGTTATGCTGCCCAAATGTTTGTTGATTACTTTGTCTTAGTCAAAATTTTGCTTTATCAGAACCAAATGTTATTTTTAAACTAAAAAATCAATTTTGTAGCCCAGTTATGCTGCCCAAATGTTTGTTTTTTACTCTGTCTTAGTCAAAATTTTGCTTTATCAGAACCAAATGTTATTTTTAAACTAAAAAATCAATTTTGTAGCCCAGTTATGCTGCCCAAATGTTTGTTTTTACTCTGTCTTAGTCAAAATTTTGCTTTATCAGAACCAAATGTTATTTTTAAACTAAAAAATCAATTTTGTAGCCCAGTTATGCTGAGAATGGTATTCTTGAACAAATTGACACTACTGACAGCATACATAATTGTAGATATTTTTTGGGATGCTTTATGCATATCGTTAATATAAATTAAGAACAATAATGGACCTAGGATTGAACCCTGAGGAACTCCACACGTAATATCAAGGGCTCCTGACTTTTCTAGTAATACAAATTGCTTTCTGTTAGACAATTAGCTTTGAATCCACTTAAATGTTGAGCCTAATATACCGTAATATTTTAGTTATACCGTTATATATATATATATAATAATGCAGTATCTACATTGTATGTTTTTCGATTTCAGGTCATAATGGCATATCATCACAAGTCTGGGTATCAAAAAGCTAAAGACCGTGAAGATAAAAAGAAACGTGAGGAAGCGGTCATTTCAAAAACTGTTAAAATAACTGAGCTTTTTCCTACGATTAGTGTCAATGTCAATAGAGAAGACCCACCATCAAATTCACCTTTACCATGTGTTGGTCAGTGTGGTTTGCCTGGTCAATTTGGTCATGAATTTGAACGTGATAACAGTGTTGCAGCTGTATGCACTCAATCTATCTCTCACTCTGAATCTGATGATATGGTAGACGCGGAGACACTTTCTTAGAAACCAGAAGCACAAGCTGGTTCCAAAGGTGATGACAATTCTTTTTCCACTGACATTGGGCAATGGTCTGAAGTGGAAATCAATGATACATTCTGTAACTTTTGGGTAACTCGTGGCAGTGAATGTTGTCAACATTCAAATGCTGACTTCACTAGTTCAATGCAAATCGATGGAAAACAGAAGCGCTACTGCTCACAGAATCTCTTTTATCGTGTTCATTCTCGCAATGGTGAGAAAGTCCCAAGGTCATGGTTGTGTTATTCACCAACAACATCTCGCATTTACTGCTTTGTATGTAAATTATTTTCTGCTGATGATAATTCATTCTCAAGGAACGGTTTTTGTGATTGGAAAAATTCAGCTTCACGAATACAGTCACATGAAAACAGCATTGCACATAGAAATGCAACAATCACATTCAGCCAAAGAGTACAAGTCAGAGGATGTGTAGATTCAGCAATAGTTGAGCAATACACACAGGAATGTGCATATGCAAAATCTGTGCTAGAAAGAGTTATCAAATTCCTTGCTGAAAGAGGGCTCGCATTTAGAGGACATACTGAAATATTGGGGTCAAGTTCTAATGACAATTTTTTGGGAATTTTGGAGTTGATTGCTCAGTTTGATCCATTCCTCTCCAGTCATATTGACAACCATGGTGGTAAAGGGAAAGGCTCTGTTTCATACCTGTCATCGACAATTTGTGATGAGTTAATTGATGTCATGGGAAAGCAAGTTATGAAAACAATATTGTCTGAAATACGTGGAGCAAAATTTTATTCGATTTCTGTTGACTCTACTCCAGACATATCTCATGTTGATAGGCTGTCATGTGTCTTTTGATATGTTTTGAACGATGGCCCTATAGAAAGGTTTGTGCAATTTTTAAGCATGAAAGGACATGGGGTAGAAGATTTGTTTAACAGTTTATACAGCTTTCTGGAAGAAGCAAAGTTGGATATAAAATATTGCCGAGGTCAGTCCTACGATAATGCTAGCAATATGGCAGGAAAATATTCAGGGTTACAGGCACGCATTCGTGAGAAGAACCCATTGGCTGAATATGTGCCATATTTAGCACACTCCCTTAATTTAGTCGGTGCATCAGCTGTAAACTGCGTGACAACAGTGAGTGGATTTTTTGATTTTGTACAAAACTTGTATGTCTTTTTAAATGCATCAACCCAACGGTGGGAGCTTCTAACCAAAGGATTGGATAGTGACCAGTTAGTTCTAAAACGCCTTTCTGATACTCGATGGTCAGCACATTCTGCAGCAACTAAAGCATTGAGCAAAGGCTTTAAAAATGTTAAGACAGTGTTAGAGAACATTGCTGAGGACCCCGAGGAGAAGGTTGAAGCTCGCACTACAGCTGCAGGAATTGCAAAGAAGATGGATCAGTTAGAATATGGAATTTTATTAGAACTCTGGACACCCATATTAGATCGCTTTCATAAGACCAGTTTAAAACTGCAAAGTCCACAACTTGATCTAAATGAGGCTGTTCAACTGTTAACTTCACTAAAAGAATATGTAAATTCACTTCGAGCACAGTTTGATTTCTTTGAGAAGAAAGGAAAGGAAATAACAGGGTCAAATTCTTATAAAGAAGAGAATCAGAGGAAACGAAAGCGAAGTGTTCAATTAACCCGTCATGATGGATCAGCTGATGAAACAGTGTTTTCGGCATAGCAGAAATTTCGAGTCATGGTTTTCTTGCCAGTACTTGATCACTTGAATTCAGCATTATGTAAACGATCAGAGACATACAGTGGTGTATGTGATAAGTTTGGTTTTCTGAGAAACATTCGATCACTGGAACAGTCTGATTTGCGAAAAGCCAGTAGAAACTTGATAGATACTTATGTAGATGACTTGGAAGAGTCATTTGAAGATGAAATACTTCACTTCAAAGAATATTTGTTAGCTGATACGTACTTGCAACAGAATGAGAAAGAACTGAAATGTAGCATAGAGCTGTATATGTATCGGGCTTTGAGAAACAGCAGTGCACTACAAGATATATTTCCAAATGTTGCCACAGCACTTCACATATACTTCAGTTTGATGATCACCAACTGCAGTGATGAAAGATCATTCTCTGCATTGAAACGGATAAAAAACTATCTGCGAAGTGCTTTGGGTGATGACAAACTGAATTCCCTTACTGTTATGTGTACTGAATCTGACATCCTAAGAAGCTGTGACTTCAATGAAATTTTATCAGACTTTGTTGAACGAAAATGCAGAAAAATGAATTTTTGATCGTGTTGTTTTTTTCTTTGGGTCAGCCATTTATAAAATTTATACTTATTTTTAAAAATTCTGAAGAATGATCTGATTCTACTACCATCCCATTAGTCTTTTTCCTATCATAAGCAAGGTTTTTAAATCTTTAATTAACAAACACTTAATCTCTCATCTAATAACTTACTTTCTGATCATTAATATGGATTTTGATCTTCTCGTTCTACGGCTGATTTGCTAACAGTAATAACCGATAGGTTTTTTCGTACATTAGATAAAGGTGGAGAGGTTAAGGCTATTGCTCTTGACATTTCTAAAGCGTTTGATAAAGTATATTCGAGAATGTGAAAACCGATCTGCAAAATTAGTTAACCGGATAGCGTGTTTCTGACGGCGGTAAAGGCGTTGTAACTTACTTTTGCTTGTATTCTCCTAAACAGTAATTGGATAATTTATATAGCTGTGAACAAATGAGATCTAATTAAACACTTTTGGTCCAAATAATAGTTAGAGAAAAAATCAATTTCTATTTTTTGAGCGCCTATTAATATTCCAGTTTTTTGTCATTTTCTCAAAATTAACTTACTTGGACTTTTTTGTCAAACATTCTTATTAATTTTAACTAGGAATTTTCAAGTATTCTTTCTAAACTATTCAATATATCATTCATAAATGGAACTTTTCTGAATGTTTTAAAATTATTTTGTGTTATTCCGATATTTAAAAACGGCTCTAAACATTTATGTACTAACTACAGACCTATTATTCTTTTATCTAACATAAGTAACCTTCTTGAAAGACTAATGTATTCTAGAGTGTACTCTTTTCTTAAATCTTTCAACTGTTTAAATAAATTTCAGTTTGGTTTTTGTTCAAAACATTCTACCTGCCATGTATTGATAAGTATAACTGAAAAAACCAGAAAAGCTCTCAACACTGGTCATTTTGTTGGTGGTATTTTTACAGATTTACAAAAAGCTTTTGATACCATTGATCATAACATTTTGATTTCTAAATTATAACACTAAGGTATTCGTGGTGTTGTAAATGATTGGTTTTGATCTTATTTTACAGATCGGAAACAATTTGTAGGTATTAATGGTCATAATTCTATTAAGAAATCTGTTGCGTGCGGTGTTCCTCAAGGTTCTGTTCTTGGTCCTCTTTTGTTCTTAATTTATATTAATGACATAAAAAAACTCTATTCGCTTCTCGTCAATTCATCTATTTGCCTATTGCATACCAACAAATCGTATAATTTTCTATGTAAAAACATAAATTCGGATTTAAAAGGTATTGTTCACTGGTTAAATGCTAACCTAATATGTCTTGACGCTAAAAGAAACTGAATTAATCTTTTTTCATCTTTTAGAAAAAACACAATTTAAACAACAATTCTAAAATTCAAATCAAAATTAATAATAAACGGTTATATCCTACAAAAGTTATCAAATAGCTCGGTGTTTTGATTGATTGCAATCTTTCAAGGAACTTTCATATTGATGAACTTCGCAAGAAACTAATTCGAGCTAACAGCGCACTTTGTCATAATGTGAATAAATTCACACTAAAGAATATTTACTATGCATTATTTTTATGGCTTCTTAGTTACTGTTCAAATGGGGTCAAAATGGCAATTTGGGGTCAAAATAGCAACTATCAAATCATAAAATTGATGTCCTCTCAACCTCAATCCATAAGAATCATAAATTTCCAACCTTCTAAGTCAGAAACATCAGAGTCTTTCAAAAAACTAAAAATTCCAACCATTCCAGCATTCCAGTACAGAAAGTAGAATAATACATACATACATATTCTACTAGAAACATATATAATGGAAGACTTAGCGTACCATCTTTTTAAACTTAGAAGTATGGTAAACATTCTGTTGTCTATCAGTGCATTTGAGAATAAAACAAGAGTCTTGTATGCATAGTGAATGAGTTCAAAAAACTACAACTTCAAACACCTTTATCGTCTTTTCTTAATTTTAAACACAATCAATTCTAAAAAAATTCCGTTAAAAAAAAACTATTATCATTAACTTCTTGCTTGTTTATTTTTTATTATTATCCTCAAAGTATGATTTTTAAATGTTTACTTAGTTTAAGTATGTTCTATGTGTGTACGCTTATTATTAATCATATTATATTTAAAAACTGGTGTCACTCCTTTGATCAGAATTCTGTTTGAGTGGCACCATTCTTATCAATTATTTAGTTTTTATTATTAAATACTAATAATTAATTTAATCATTATTATATTAATTTATATATATATATATATATATATATATATATATATATATATATATATATATATATATATATATATATATATGTATATATATATATATATATATATATATATATATATATATATATATATATATATATATATATATATATATATATAATATATATATATATATATATATATATATATATATATATATATATATATACATACATACATATATATATATATATATATATATATATATATATATATATATATATATATATATATATATATATATATATATATATATATATATATATATATATATATATATATATATATATATATATATATATATATATATATATATATGATTATATATATTATTATTTATATAATATATATAAATAAAAAAAAAAAATATATATATATATATATATATATTGTTGTTGTTTTTATTGTTCAAGAAATTTGTCAAGATTGTCTAGAGTTAGCTATTACTTATTAGTTTGAACCTCTGCGGCGGAGTACAACAAACAAAAAATTCGTTGCTGCTGCACTATAACAACTTCAAAAAGCAAATTCTTTACAAAGTAAATAATCAAAACAAAACAAAATATTTTAACGACTGAACATTTTTCACTTATAACGTTAACGTTAAACTAAAAGAAAATTTTTGTGATGATTTAAAATAATATATTATTTGTTAATACGATTTAATTTTTGAACGACGTTCATTTTATTACCATTGAACTTTATCTACTGGCATTTTGTCTGTTTTTGGATTCCGTTTATGAAATCCTGGATATAAAAATGGAAAACAAGCTTACTCCGTTAGAAGCCATTCACGTTGTTTCTGCATTAGAAGATTGTGTTGATCAGCTATTTGTTCTTAACAGCGTAATAGCAGGAAAACCCGAAATAAACCAAGAAAAAGTAGATACATTAACGCGACTTTTAGAACAACGTAAACTACTTGAAGCGCAATACGTTGAATTAATATCTCCAGAAAAATCCCAAGACGAATATTTAGAAAATGAACTTACAAAAAAAATCCATAAAAATACGCTAGAAATCAATAAATTTATGCGAATAAACAAATCCCATGAAGATTCAGGCCAAAAAATACATAAAGATCTGCATTTTGTGCTCAACGTTTTGGAATCCACATTGCTAGAAGTGAAATCTCAGCACACTTTTAATTCACTTGTTGAAATTGTGGAAAAAGAAAAAGAGAATAAGAAAAAAATTCAAGATGTAATTTCAAAAGAAGAGGAGAGTAGAAAGCGACTTAAACAACTTCAAAAAGCTGTTATAGATACCAAAAAAGAGCAAGAAATTGAATTAGAAAATAAAAACGAATTAATTGCTAATTTAAAAGATAAATTACAAGAAATAAAAGCAAAAACAAACATGGAAGTTCGATATTTAAAAAAAGATGCTGAGGTTCGATTAGCATGTTTTCAAAAAAAGTCTAAAATTGCTGAACAAGATCTAAGAAATGAATTGGCAACTCTTAACCGACAAGTTGAAGGTATATATATATATATACATTTTTTTAATTTTGCTTAAAGTGTCTTCAGAAGACCTAACTACCTTGTCAAAGAGCAACGTAGAAACTCATTTAACAATGTAGTTCACCCCACTTTCCTAGCCAATGGTGGAAAATATTTCCAGATTTCGCGTTGTTCCCTGGATCTCTTGCTTCTAAATCTAGCGCTCTAACCACTTCGCTTCGACTGCTTAATATAGATCTCAACTCAGGAGTACTCTTTGCAATTTTTGGTAAAAAAGTTTTATGCTAACTTAATAAAAAAACAGTTTTTTGTTTGTACTTGATAGAAAACTAAAGCATGCCATAAATATTTTTTTATGGAATTATGAAATATGAATGGAATTATGAGTATACTATAAGTAGCTTCTAAAGTCAGTTTTAATTTATCCGTTTTTCTACGGAAATCAGAAATTGAAAAAAAAAATAACCACATGAGCATGCGTAGTATAAGTTTTGCCATTTTAATATTTACTTTATATATGCTTATTTATGCTATATTATTACAATGTTGTAAACAAGACCAACATTGTAAGCAAGTTAAAACCTTATAATATCATGCACAAGGCCTTCTGTTGAGCAAGGCGATATTTTCAAAGGCAATAAAATTATACAAATAATGGCAAATGGAACAAAAGTAAACTTTCTTAAAAATCAAAATATGTGCTAAAGTTTAATAATTTACATTTACATTACAGACTAGTATTTTTAATAAAAAACAAGTTGGTGTGACCTGCATATGACTGCATATATAACAAGTTTATATTTTTTGACTTAAGTTTTCTTTGACTTTTCTGAAAATTAAAAAAACTAGTTTTATTGAAAACTATTTTAGATGAATCACGCTGCAATGTGGAAATCGAGACCTTCTTGCGTTTGCAACACACTTTGCTGGAAGAAAAAGTTGAATACTGGATGAACAAATACGATACTGACGTTGAAAATAAACAATTGGAGCTCGATAACTTAAAACAAACAAAATTGGCCGACCTAACTCGATTGCAGGAACTAACAGAAACGTTTTTTGAATATAGTAAAGTTATCGAAGAAGATCGTCTTGAAAAAGAAGCACAGCTAGAGAAGGAAAAACTTGAATTAAAAGAAAAAATAGCATGTTCGAAAATTCAAGCCTGGTGGAGAGGAATAATGGTTCGACAGCAACTTGGGCCCTTCAAGCCAAAAAAAAAGAAAAAAGGTACAAAAGGGAAAAAAAAGGGTAAAAAAAAATAAGAAAAGTTGTATGAAAAAAAAAATGCTTCTGAATAAAAGAAATAAGAAAAAAAAATTTAGTAAAAATTGTTTATTTGTAGCTCATAACAATTTTTTTAATTTAAAATGGGAAGGCGTTGTACCTTTAAAATGGGAAGGTGTTTTACCTTGGTTCATTTATTTTGATATTAAATTTTAATTCTATGAGGATTTTATTTTTTTCTTATATGTCACAGTAAAATCCATCATTTAGACAACACGTCGTCTAAAAATTTAAAATATGTTTTTTAATAAAAGGAGTAATTAAATAATTTATTCGTATCCCAATGTACAGCACCAAATCATACTTGCGGATTTAATTTGTACCCTTTGAATTAAGTAAAAAAACAAAAATGCTTGTTACGAAATGAAACGAGTAGAAACTTATGTTAATCTTATTTAAATTAAACTAAAGTACAGAAATCAGAATATTGAATTTCATATACAGTGTCATTTTTATAACGTTTACAACATAATAATTTCAGGTATTTCACTTCAAAGCAAAAAAACAAAAGTTGCTTAAAGTGTTTTAGATTACTTGAACAAACTAATCCAACATACTATTGAAATTTTGTTAAGTACATTTTAATATTTAACTCTGCAGCAACTCTGTAGAGCGAGTAGCAACTTTTGCAGAGTGGTCAGATAAAGAACTAAGACAAGTTAGTTTAGTCTACCCACATAAAAAATCTTAACAATGCAGTTTGTTCTTTGGTAAAACTATCCCAAGACACATCTTCCCCTATATTTATTTAAGTTTATTTTTTATTTGAAATATGGGAGAGAAAAACTTAAATCTTTGATTTTTGTTTATTGATTACCTCGAATCATTTAAATCATTTTTGAAACATCAATATTTCAGGACAGCGTGAACATACATATATATACATAAATATACATATGTAAATACATATGGTTGTGCGCTTTTATTTGTAATGTGTGTATATTAATTGTTCAGAAAAATGTTAAATAGAAAACTAATAATGAAAATATCAAATTGTTTTTTGATTAAATGAACTATCGTAAGTATAAATAAATTTTACATTATATATATACCATCATGAGTAGATAGAAATTATCCAAGCATTACTGCAATTATTCAAAGAAAATTCAAACTTCTGTTTTTAAGCTATTAAATTGCTCTAAGAAGTCAGACTTTAAAACCGCATTTAAATGAAAACCAAATTCGAACTTTTATATCAAATTAAACTTACTGAATCCATGCATTTTGATTGATAATACACATATACTATAAACATTAGTTATGTTTATAATATTATTAATCAAAATTTTTATAAATTAAAGAAACTTAAAAAACTTCAAAAAAAAACAATTGGACGACGAAATTTTGTTTCACTTCTTAAATTTTATTTATCGCTTCCAAAAAATCTAAAGATTTTTTGCTTAGATGAGTTAATGATAATACTATTTTTTTTATAAAATACCATTCGTTCGCACAACTCATTATTTATCGCTTTTACTAAGTGTGAGTAGTGATACTTTTTTAATAAAAAACTATTCGGTCGCACAACTCGTTATTTATTTATATTTTTCAAGTTGGATTATCTCATTATTTAAAGTGATACTATCCTATTAAAAACAGGCAAAACGAAATTATAATTTTCATATTTCGATGTTTGAATATCTGGGATCATGGGAGACATAATACTTTTCTTAACAATAAATAAATTTTAACTAAATTAGTATTTAAAGGCCTTAGCAACAGCCTTAGAAACCAATTTACGTTTATTTTATGTTTTAACCTTTTTTTTTTTATAGGTTACTGCAAAAATATAAGTTTCAAAATGATTTATTTTCATGTTTTCACTTTTTGTTTCAACAAAGAGAGTTTTCTTTTGTTTCTACAAAGAAAGTCATAAATTTAAACAACATTAATTTTGGTTGGCTTTACAAGCTTGCTAGAAACAGCATCTGATATTTGTTTTTAGTAACAATTTTTTTTAACATTTTTTTAAAGTAATTGTAGCTCATTATAATATCTATTATAGTTTGTAATTATGGCAAGTAAAAAAACAACAACAGAAAAGATAAGAGAAAATTTCAAACCAACAATCAAGCTAAAAATATTTTTTCAGACCTTTGTTAAACTTGCGTAAAAAAATCGGTTTATAAACAAACATAACAAAAAAGCAATTTATGTTTTGAACGGTTTAGACTTTAACTTAAAGTGCTCTTTTTGTCATATTTATGAAGGCAAGCTCAAAATTTGTTGATGCGTGAAGAACTTTCTTTGTCTTTTAAAACAAAATAAACTTTTTTTTGTATCTTATGTAATAAATAAATAAAAAGTTTAAAAATAAATCTCATGAGGTTAACATTCTTAGTCTAATAACATGTTGTGAGATGAATTAAAGATGACCAGAGAATCTATGATACAAAACTGCAAGTGTTTTGAGCATAACCTATGACTTAAAGAAAATATTAACAAAGCTAAGGATGAATTGCATAACGAGTATCAGAATACTAAATTTTGCAGTTTAAATGTTCTGCAATGGAAGTTTGACAAATTTTTCTAAAACTAAATGAAATACATTAAACTTTGTTTATCGTTATGTTTTTGTTGATAGTACTTGGTAGTAAAGGGGTTATTCAAAATTAAAAAAAATATATCGACACTTGTGTAATTTTTATTGATAGTACTTGGTAGTAGGGGGGTTATTCAAAAAAAAATATCGACACTTGTATAATTTTTATTGATAGTACTTGGTAGAAAGGGGGTTACTCAAAAATAAAAATATCGACACTTGTGTAATTTTCAAAAGCATTGCAATAGTTGAGAAATTTGAAAGAAAAAATAAAGAATTCTTTAGAACTTGGTGAGTGGAATCTCTTTTGGTACCAAAATACAAGCTTCGCCATGCTAAGCATCAAAGTGATTTAGATTCTAGTTTATTTATCAAAGTAGTCGAGTCAAATTCAGGTGGAGATAATGACAGAGATTCATTTATTCCTGAACATTTATAGGAGTTAAAAAGTGAGACATTAAAATTTAAAAGAATTAAAAAGTGAGACATTGTCGGGTAGTAAAATAATGTGTTAAAAAAGATTATTGACTGATAAAGCCAATTTTTTAAACACCATTATGTTTTGTTTAATTACATTGAAAATAACGTTGACATTGCAATATGGAATAATACTTAAAACCTACCAGAGATGAGTAACGTTGCAACTTATTGCTGTACTGCTTTTATTTCAGACAAAACACATCAAACTCAAATTACTACGCCATTATTGAGTATCAGATAAACTATTTTCCAAGATCATCTAAACATTTGTCTATGTAGTTCAAATCTTCACTGTATGCAAATAGCCATGCATAATAAATAATTTGTCACTTTTTGCTAAAAATAAAATTGAAACAATTAATGCTCGGTTCATAGTCAAAATTGTAAAAACAAATTTTTATTAAGTTGTTTAAACTCGAATTTGTCATAATAATTTTCTGAATACTAATCTATTATGCAAATCGTCTAAATACCAATATATAAATTAGATTTTTTTTTAGTAATAGTTGCAATAAAATTATATTTTTTGAATATATAAAGTTTGTTACTTTTCTAATTCCCAAAACTTTTCTCCCTCATAAAAAAAGTTAAAAAGTTTAAACTTCTCTTATTTTTTCAGTTTATCTAAATTTACTGCATTTCATTTATGTACTAAGAACATTTTTTTAAAATTACAAAGAAATTTTAATTCGATTGGTCAAGCTTTCTGAAGTGAGGCACTTTTCTGAACAGTCAGTTTAGCTCGCCATTCACAAAACTTTTTTACTAATTAGTCTATGATGTCATTTTGCAGAAGTAACTACATACTCTGTAAAAATGTTATTTACTAAATAGTCTATATGTTTTTTCAATTTGTTTTATAAAAGATGGCAGAAATTTTTTTTTTAACTTTTTTTTTCTGATTAACATCGTATAATACTATTACAATGCACGTATACATATGGAATCTCATAAAATAAAATATAAAAGTATATACATTACAACAAAATTAAGTTAAATCAGGTAGGGGCTCAAAGAAGATAAGGATAACATTACGTTATCGCAATCTTTTCATAGAACCCCTAGGTACAAGTTTAAATAAAACAGCGTAAGAATAAATAGCTCGTATAAAAATATAATAATAACAATGTTATCATTAAAAAGTCTAGACAAGGTTAAATTAATCAAAAAAGTAAAAAGAAAAAACTTTATTTTAAGTTCAACTTTTAAAAATTTCTTTTTTTAATTGAAACTTAAATGAATTTAAAGACTTCACCATAAATTTAAATTCCTTTTGACAGTCATTCATTTTGACAGTCATTAATTTAGGTCCTCGATAAGATATACAAAATTCTGAGAGTTTATTACATTTCCGAGGCAATTTAAAGTTTTTATTTCTATTTGATCTTAAAACATACTTTTCATTTGAATTTATTTCAAACTTATCTTTGAAGTTTGCTGGCAAGAGGTTGTTATAGTATCTATACATAAAAATTAGATGCTTATAAATATTTATTTCAAATATATCCATTTTCAAATATATCCATTTTCATATCTCTCATTAGAGGATTTGCATGTTCACGTTTACGTTTACAGTATATAATACGGCAAGCGTGTTTTTATTTTATGCAAGTTTATGCGTGTTTTTATTTTATGCAAATTCTATGCAAGTTCTAAAATTATCCATATTTTATTCAATTAGAACTTTGTTAGTGTGTGCTTACAAATAAATAAGCTGTAAATTGGTGCTACTCGAACTTTTAGTTTGAAGGGAAAATGTAATAGACTGATTCCACAAACGGTGAACCAAAATCACATTTTTTATAATGCACAGAAAATGAAATATAGTATTTTATTTTTTGTACAAAACATATTAAATTGTCATAAAATGTAGGTGCTAACGTATTATAATTTCCCTGATGTTTTTTTTTAATAAATAAGACCTGCAAGTGTTGGAAAATATAAGTTTTACTTAAATGAACACTAATCTTTTCGACTTGTGTTAATAAAAGTGCTAGATATGTTGAGTGATTATTTTCTCAAGAAATATTATACCAACGCACATGTGATAGCATTTAAGTAAAATAAGACGGCGGTCCTTTGTTTCATCTTTAAAAATATTAACGTGATTCCTAGTAAGTCAATAAGTGGTAATAGACGTCAATAAGTGGTAATAGACGTAACGAAAACGGAAATTTAATGCTGCACAATAAGCACATTGTTTTTAATATCATGACTTAATATTATAAACAAGTTTAACTAGATGTTTAACAAGTTTAACAAGATGCTTCATTTATACTTGATATCATGTGGCTTTGATTTTAATTGCCTTGGAAAAATGGAAGAAAGGAAACTTTGAGGAAGTATTACTTGACTATGTTCCACCGTGAGGCATATACGTTATTTCTTGAGAATAATGAAACAAATAAAATTCGTTTTTCCAAATATTGTGCTCTCCGTCCACCTTATGTACTGCTTTTAAGAAAGCAGTACATAAGGTGGACATAAGAAAATATATATTTATATATATATTTTCTATGAATTAAATTCATAGAAAATATATACATAAATATATATATATATATATATATATATATATATATATATATATATATATATATATATATATATATATATATATATATATATATATATATATATATATAAATATGTATATATATATATATATATATATATATATATATATATATATATATATATATATATATATATATATATATATATATATATATATATATATATATATATATATATATATATATGTATATGTATATATATATATATATATATATATATATATATATATATATATATATATATATATATATATATATATATATATATATATATATATATATATATATATATATATATATATATATGTATATGTATATATATATTTAATATGTAAGTTGATTTTAATAAAAAGGCAGCGTATAACTATTTTTAAATATATTTTGATGTAAAAATATATCAACGATATTTCGCTGACCTATTGTGGTCAGCGTCATCAGGTAATAATAAAAAACGTTACAAAATAACATAAAAACAAACCGTTTAAAAAGAAGACATTAAAAAGCGTCAAATATAAAAACCAATTAAATATAATAATGACGTCAGTTAAATTTTTGTCAAAATGGGTCCCCAAGTTCTTGTTTTAACCTTATCCCCGTCATCTCGATTTAGAACACCTTCCGCAATACCTATCTCACATCGAACTTTCGCTTTGTTAATCTCCAGAGATTCTCTAATTTTTCGTATCTTGTATTCTTGAACGACTGCCAAGGTCTTAGGATTTAGCCAATCAAAGTTACCACGGCATGTTTTGGAATGTTCCGTGGCTCCTGAACTCGACCATTTTTGATTTTTGCAAGCTCTTTGGTGTTCTGCACTTCTTGAAATGATTTTTTTTTTGGTCTCACCAATATATATATTTCCGCATGAGCATTTAAGTTGGTAAACCCCCGGATTTGAGTTCGGAGGTAGTTTAGTTTTGTTGTTGCATAATATATTACTTAAACTAGGAGCTGAAGTAAATATAACTCTGATGTTTTGTTTTTTAAATTCTCTTCGGAGTTTTGGGCCAATAAAAGGTATCCAAGGTAGTTTAACAAACTTTTGATCTAACTGATTAGATGTAGTATTTTTTGAAATGCCGTCTAAATAGTTTTTGGTTATTTTAATAAGATTATTTTTATTATAGCCGTTTTCAAAAAATGTATTTACTAGGAAATCAATTTCTTGTGAGAGATATTTTTGAGAGCAGATTTGTTTTGCTCGACATAAAAAACCTTTAAAGACGCCAATGGTTATGCTCGGGTTGATGTTGGAGTTTGGTTTTATTTGAACATTTGTTATCGCATCCTTACGGTGTATTTGAAACTCATAAAATCCATTCATTGTATTTGTAATACAAATATCTAAAAAATTAAGCTGTTTTCTTTTGTTTTCAAGTTCAACGGTATATTTTATGGAGGGGTTTTGTTCATTTAAAGCTTTAAGAAATAATTCTTGCTTTTCTTTTGAATCGAAGCGAGCATGGCTATCATCCACATATCTTTTATAAGTTATTGGTTGGAATGAATTAACAAAGGCTATATCAAGTGCTCTTTTTTCTATATTTTGCAAAAATGCTTCAGCTATGACTACCATCAATGATAAACCAATTGGACCTGAATTAGGTAAAATTCGGATTTTATCTTCGTATAAAAAGTAACATATGCTTAACGATAGTTCAATTAATTGGTGTATATCTATGAGAGTTAATTTAGTCCTAGTTTTTAAATCTTCAAGATCATCGTTCAATATGTTAATAATAACAGGAATTGCTTCATTGATCGGTACGGATGGATATAAATTAATTACATCGAAAGAAACCTGAATTTCATTAGGGTCTATCTTCCATTCTTTAGCATCGTTGACAAAGTTTCTTGAATTAATTAGTCGAGTTATGTTTTTGTTTAATGTTGGTTGGATAATTTAACCAGATACTCAGATGTTCCATAAGGAGGTGTGTTAATAGTGGAAACAACAGGACGCATTGGATAGTTTTTTTCCGGTTTGTGTGCTTTAACCATTCCATAGATTCTAGGTGGAACGCAATCTGATGGATACATTTTAAAATAAGTAGCATTGTCTAACTTACCTTGCTTTCTTAATTTACATAATAGTTTTTGAAATTTAGTAGTGAATGTGGGTGTTGGGTCGTAATCAATAATTTTACTATTTTTTATTTGTTCTTCTAATTTCGCTTTTGCTTCATTTTCGCATAATAAAGCAAAACCTGTTCCTTTGTCAAACGGATATATCTTTAGATGTGAATGTTTTTTCAGGTTTTGTAAAGAAAGGCGTTGTTGTTTTGTTAAATTATCTTTTATTTTTAACTTTAAAGAACTGGTTAGAATTTTGGAACAGTTTTGTCGAAGAATCTCTGCTTGTGTTTGTTTATTTTGTTGTTCGAGTTCCAAGGCGCAAGTTTCAATATTAGTGATTATGTCCATATAAGGGATTTTCTTTTGTATTGGGACAAATTTTGGACCAAGAAAAAAATTGGGACAAATTTTGCTTTATCAAGATTAATATTTGTTAAATTTAGTATGGCTGGTTTGAAAATTCGGTTAGGACGATTTTTTTCAAAATTGATTTTATAACTGATGTCATTTTTCAATTTATAGAATTTTTCTTTCATTTTAGTTTTTTTTAAAGAATAATGGTAGTTCTTAGATTTGTTTGTTACATTATTAATTATCTCATAGTCATTAGATCTTATTTGAGATTGAAGATATAAATTTAATTCATCAATTAACTTCTTACTTGAATATAATCTTTCTTTTGCTTCATTTCGAGCATGAACTAATAATTTTTTTCTGCATTCTTTCATTATATTTTCAGCTTTTTTGGTACGTAGTGGACTTTTTATTTTAAACGATTTTGGAATTATATTGTTTGATATGCATTTTTGAAGAAAAACGAGTTGATTTTTTGCAATTGCATTTCGTATCTTCAAAGTTTGCAATTTTTTCGTTTCATTGTAAATCTCTTTGCCGTAAAGAGCAGTGATAAAATCTTTAAAAATCATTTCTTGTTATACGATATATATATATATATATATTTAATATGTAAGTTGATTTTAATAAAAAGGCAGCGTATAACTATTTTTAAATATATTTTGATGTACTTCACTATTTATATATATATATATATATATATATATATATATATATATATATATATATATATATATATATATATATATATATATATATATATATATATATATATATATATATATATATATATATATATATATATATATATATATATATATAAATAGTGAAGTCGCATTTTTTATTTGTCTAATATTAGTTTATTTAAATTATTTATGTCAGTAAAAAAATTTCAGGTAGTCAAAAATATCAAAATGTAAAAGTATTTTCTAAATACTTTGATTTTTATTTAAAATAAGGTTCTAAAGTGTATTGCTCCTTAGCAAAGGCATAGCAATTAATTTACTTTATATATTGATTCTTATTGAATTGCTTAAGCAACAATTTTACGAAATGAGGTTTTAGAAAATACTGAGTGATAGTTCGGCTTTTTTTGCCATAAAATTTATATAACCAAACCACTTTACTGTGTTAAAATGTTACGTAAATTCTTTTTAAGTGTAGATTAAAAGCTAATGTTATCTTTTTTAGTTATTAATGGTAAATATAGCCTGAGTTCATTTCTTTATTATTCTTTTTTTTTTAGTAAAGAATAAAATGAATATATTATTTCTAATTGCACAATATAAAAATAAATCTTTTGTGGAGAAGAAAGACTTGTGCTTCTAGAGTTTTTTTAAAAAAGGATGAAGAAAATCAAGATTGTCAGTTTTTTTTGAAATATAGATACTTTTGTAATGAAAAATCATAATTATTCTTTTTTGTGTCTAAATTAACAATCTCAATCAACAATTTCATTGTCGATGATGAAGCTATTCCACAACCTCACAAAAAATTTTTAATTGATGTTGATATTATTACACAATCTCTTGCCTTTGAGCATGGCCTAACTGTGAGATATAAATATATATATATATATATATATATATATATATATATATATATATATATATATATATATATATATATATATATATATATATATATATATATATATATATATATATATATATCTCACTGGTAAGTCTTTGTTGCTATTTAATTGCACAGAGTGTTTATGGAATATAAAGTTCTATACCAGTGAAAAAGTTTCAAATAAAAATTGATTTTGATATAAATCTATATTTAGTGATTGCAAGGCATAAAATTGGAAATGGACATTACAAAAGCTGTGGGTTTGTGATTTAAGGCATCATTTTTAGAATTAAGACATTTAATGTGTTGTGGAACTACTAATACCTGGTGCAAATTCCAAGCAGACAATATTATTGAAACATGTGTGAAGAGAAAAACCAGGACAGCCTGTTGTAATTAGGGACATAATCAAGCTAATATTTATTGATTTATCTGATCAAAACATGTTAGAAAGGTGCCTTCATGAAAAAACTCAAAAAAATAAAAATTCTTTAAATGCAAAAATTTTAAAATGATGTTTAAAAAATAAAGTGGTAAACTAAATGTTTATTTAGAACTAATAATCCTGGTAATAATTATATAACGTTTTGCAATCAAGTTAAAAATTTCTTTTAATTATAGCAAAAAAATCAAGTGATAAATTAAACCAACATTGGAAACAAATTAAAGCAAAGTGAAAAGGTTAAATTGATCAAGATAAATAAAATGAGTTGGAATAACTTATGATGGTGGATGTTTTTAGTGATTTTAGTTGAATTCAATTTTCCAATTGATATTTTTATTGAAATTTGAAATAGGATTACCAGAATTTTATAGAATACTTATTTGTAGTATTAAAATTTTTCAGTTTTGCTAAACATGAATATTAGTTTCTGTATGAAACTTAAATAGTTAAATGCTCACCCGCGGTGCTCTATGTTAAATGCTGTTAAATGCTCACCCGCGGTGCTCTATGATAAGACCGTAAGGACTTCTGGGAGCACCTAAATACATACAAAAAAAAAAAAAAAGTTAAATAAAGTTTATAAAAAATTTTTATAAGTTTAGACTACTGCTTTTATAGAATTACACTACTGCTCTTACATTGAGAAGTGATAAAAAATCGTTAGAAATGAAATAAAAGTTTGTTTTAATATTTCAACTTATTTTTTTCAATTTTAATTATCTTAAATTGTTTTTTCTCAGAATGCTATTTTTAGCAAGCTGCAATAAATAATTTGAATAACTACTTGTTGTAGTGCTTTGAAATTTTGTACAATTTTAGTAATATATATAAGAAACTAATTGAAGTAATAAATTTTTTTGATTTTATTTTTGAGCAGAGTTATGGGGTTCTAAAGTGAGCTATTTTGGGATCAATTTTGGCTATTTAGGTGTTTATGCTATAACATCTTCATGCTTTAAGCTAACTTAATGATTTTACTTCAATGAGTATCTTGTTATATTATAAGTAAACACTGAAAGTTTGAGCTTTCATAGGATCTACCCTTACCTATCGATGAATCTTTTTTAAGGTTTGTGACACACAACTAGGGTCCAAATGAGAATTTTTTTTTTTTTTTTAAATCAAGATCAAATAAAAGCGTGTACCTCGTGGGCGATTTTAATCTCAACTTTCTTGAGTATGACGCAAATAAAAAAATAAAAAACTTTTTCAATTGTATTTTCCACAATGGTTTCATTCCACTAATTAATAAACCTACTCGAATTACCAATAAAAGCGTTACTGCAATTGATCAAATAATCACTAATGAGTTCATAAATACCAAAATAAAAACAGAAATATTTAAGTCTGACATTTCTGACCACTTTCCAGTATTTATTGTGTCACAAAAGTGCGATAATATTAGTGCCCAAAAAGTGAAAAGAACTATTAGAGTTTCAAAAAAAAAGCTTTGTTATAAACTTTTTGAAACTATTAGTTTCAAAAAGTTTATAACAAAGCTTTTCCTCAGACTACGAAATTTGTCAAAACAAAAACGCTATTAAATCCTTGGATAACAAAGGGTATTCTAAAGTCGTCCAAAAAAAATAACGATTATATAATAAATTTATCAAAAAAAGAACACTTGAAAATGAAACCAAGTATAAAAACTATAGGCGGCTTTTTGAATTAATTTTAAGACGTTCTAAAAAATATTATTATTCTGAACAGTTAAGTAAACACAAAAATGAAACGCAAAAGATCTGGAACATAATTAAAAAAGAAACCGGAAAAAAAAAATTTTGATCGGAAAAACCTTCCGATCTTAAATCAAATAAAGAACTTATTACAGATAAACTTTTAATTGCTTGTATTTAGTTAATGTAGGTTCTAACTTAGCATCAAAAATAGAAACCATTAAAGTAAAATTTGAATCTTTTTTAAATTCTAATAATACCAATGTAATGGACAATGATGAACTTACAGAAAGAGAATTGTTGGATGCAATGTTTTTGTTAAAACCTAAAAAAAGTTTAGGATATGATGATATCAATAGTCGCGTCATTATAAAATCAATAAAATATATAACTACTCCACTATTACACATTTTAATCTTTAAAACAATGCGTTTGTCCTGAAAAACTTAAAATTGCAAAAGTTGTACCAATTTTCAAATCTGGTAACGTCTCAAACGTTGTAAACTATCTCAATTATAAATTATAAAATATCTGACCGATCTCAATTCTTCCTTGTTTCTCAAAAATACTAGAAACAATTATGTCCAATAGACTTTATTCCTTCTAAATAGTAATGATATTTTTTACAACAAACAATTCGGATTTAAGTCAATACATTCCACTGACCATGTCATTATTCACCTTATTCATGACATACTTAAAGCATTTGATGAAAAAAAATATACTGTAGGAGTTTTCATAGATCTCAGCAAAGCGTTTGACACAGTTGATCATAATATTCTTTTAACTAAACCAAAACATTATGGCATAAAAAACTCAAACATTGATTGGTTTAAAAGTTACTTAACAAATAGAAAACAATATATATCGTATAACGAAGGAAAATCAAAATAAATGACTGTCACATGCGGTTTTCCGTCACATGTTGTGTCACATGTTGTGTTCCTCTAAGGATCAATACTTGGACACTACTCTTTGCTTGTTTATATAAACGACTTACATAGGTTTTCTAATATTTTAACTTCAATTTTATTCGCCGATGACACAAACTTCTTTTACTCTTATAGTAACATCGACTCCTTATATGAAACAGTCAATGAGGAACTCACAAATTTAACGGAATGATTCAAGTCAAATAAGCTATCCTTAAAATTGTTCCTTCAATACTTCAATACTTCAATACTTGGACACTGGTATTTTTATCTTGGTTGCGTTGGTGCTGCACCAAGCAATGTTTTCATAAATAAGGTAGCTGTGGATAAAAGAAAAGTATATTTTTTTAAAACAGTTTTGGTTTAAAAGTCATTTAGCTTTATATAATATGCCGATGTTTTTTGATGTTTTGTTTTCTATTGTACTTAAGTGTTCACGCCATGAAAGATTTTCGTCTAGAAATACTCCTAAGAACGCGCATGAATGCTCTCTTTTTATATTAAAATATCAATACAAAGATAGAGATGTTTTAATGGAATATAATGAAAACTGCTACTAGTAACTGCAATAAATTTAATAACGTTTATTTAACAACTACAATAAATTAAGGAGGTCAAATTTCTTAAATCGTTTATTTCAACAAATATCATTATTTTTCAGATAACACTAAAAAATTGCTTTTTTTTTATATATATATATGATATATATATAAAAAAAGCAATTTTTTAATATTATCTGAAAAATAATGATAATTGTTGAAAATAAACGATTTTAGAAATTTGACCACCTTAATTTATTGTAGTTGTTAAATAAATGTTATTAAATTTATTGCAGTTACTAGTAGCAGTTTTCATTCAACTAGATTATAAATAAAAAAAAAAGCTTTTGCTAACATTTAAATTAATTTATAAAAGTATAACTCTTTTAAAATAGTGGTTAAAATAGCTGCACAGGGAACCTTTTGTTGCTGAACTAACAATACGATTTATTATACCATTTCTCAGAGGTAAAAGTTCATAATATTGTCCAAAAAAAAAAAATTATTCAAAAGTGTGTCAACCTGCGTCTCAAATAAAGCGTATTTTCATAGAGATTTTATAAGTATCCATAATCAGCGGTATAGGAAGGTTTTTAAATGATTGAATTAACCAGTTTTTAAACAAAAAGAACATTCCAAATTTTTTTACGTTCATATATATTACGAAAAGATTCTTCACAAAAAAAAATTACTGCGATAGGAGAATGGTAACAAGAAGCCCTAAAATCATAGACCCCCCCCCCCACTCCTGACCCAAACGTGAGAGCAACAAATTGATGAAATATTTTTTGTACTATTTTCAACTAGACTTATATTCATCGATAAATTCTAAACTTCATAGTAAAATATTTTAGCATTCATTTCATTCATTTAGCATTATTTTACTATGAAGTTTAGAATTTATCGATGAATATAAGTCTAGTTGAAAATAGTACAAAAAATATTCCTTTAATAAAGGTTATGACTTTTAATCAGTCTATGAGGGCCAAGAGGAAACAGTTTGCTCCCCGCCTCTTTTAAGATTCCCTGCTGCACTCAATATGTGTGATTCGAAGGACTATGGATTAGTAAGAGCCTCAAAGAATTTACCTGAAGCTGAGCTAAAGAATTGTCAAAGTGACTCATCAGAGTTAGAATGAGGAACTTTATCCATCCGATAAGAATGTGATGCTCAACCTGACTTTATCTTTGTCTAATAAAGAAAAGGTAGAAAGAGATTTTTGGTTGAAGCTCGACCATCAAGGCATCTCTTGAGCACAAAATCAGGGAATATTCCTTTCTTTTTTGGAACGTTGGAATTAGAGATCAATTAGGAAACTCATTGTGTTAAGCAGCAGCAATCCAGCCCATTGCACCACAAGTCTTACCAGCACCACTGATATAGATACAGAGCTCCAGAAGCAAATTAATTTTGAGACAGCTAAATTCTTCGTGGAATTATGGATGTGTATGTTTTCTTTGCTTCTAGAAGTAAAGCTTTTTTAGGTAACTGATTATAAAGTTCTCTTGAAATCAATTTTAATTATTTATATATTTATTGTGACAGTTTATTTATAATCGTTACTTACAACTATCTTTGCAGGTAAAACAACACACGTGACTGGGAAAGAAAATAAAAACCTTTTTGCCGGTATGGAGTTTATTGGTTGCCACAATCCCATCGTTGCATCCCACTTGGAAAATGTAAGATACCATCAACATCTTACATTTACAACCCTCTTTTTGTTGTATAAAAACGAGCTCATTAGAGAATGTGGTGTTATCCGAAGTGCACCTGACGATGAAATTCAGAATGGTATCTACTTTACCATCATAGTCAATGGTTTCCCCGATACATCTCACACTGAACACATAACTTTTGTGATTCGATTTTTCCTTTATGAAAGAGAAACTAATTGCTAGTACATTAAAAAACAATTCTAATATGTTGAAGCTTTTAAGATGAAGAAAGGAGTCAATATAACCAAGCTTATCACTGGTGTGATTGTAAGGCTAGATTTGGATATTCAAAACTGCTGCGGTCAGGGATCCGATCATAGATCCAATATTTCAGGTGCTTTCAAGGAAGCCCAAGTCTTAATAACCAAAAATTAGTCAGAGGATCCGTACCTTCCCTGTAGCAGTTGAGTCAACCATTGAGATCGAAGTATTCTTTAGGAATCTCAAATCTTTCTACGTAATTTTTAGTGCAAGTTCTGTCCAATGGAAGATCCTCACTAAAGCGACAAGAACTTTGCTCTATAGACTTTCTATGACAAGATGGAGCTTTTGTACCAATGCAAATTAACCACTTGCCAAGAAGTCGAGAGAAATGTTGGCAGCTCTTAAATATGCCATGGAATATCTGGACCTGACTAGTGAGCAGCTCAGCTAAGAGCCTTAAAAAAATGATTATCATCTTTTGAAATTGTACTGCTAATTACAAATTGGTTCAAAGCTTTTACTGCTAGGATTTGAAACTGAACTCACTAGAAAAAGCAAAAATTAAAACGCTTTCGCGATGAGGCATCAAACAGCCCATTTCCACGACAGCCAAACAAAAGAATTTAAAATGAACGTTTTTAGTTTTAATTTTTTATATATTTAGTCTGATCCAGCTGATTGAATCAATATTTGAAGCAAACAGAAAGCATAGTGAAACAAATTTCCATATCTAGAAAAATAAATTGCCGAAAAATGTTCCCGAAAAAATTTATTTAGTTTTTATATTTTGGTCAAAACTTACAACCTTTTAATATTTAAAAATAGAAGATTAATAAAAACTAGTTGTCATGACCTGTAAAACACGGGTCTTAGTAAATCTGACCACACTGACCTCTTAGTAAAGGTCTTAGTAAATCTATTCCACACCGACCTTTTCTATACTTATTCCTTACTTTAATATAATTTAGTAAGAGGTAGAAAAATAATTAAATACATATATAAAAACTATACTTATTGTTTACTTTTTAAAGCTATAAAATAAATTTTCTATTAAATTTAACTTTTAAAAACCATACCATACCAGTACCAGTCTAAATATTATTTAGAATACCCGCTTAAAATGTATTAATTAAATCCTCCTGCGGTGCTCTATGATAAGACCGTAAGGACTTCTGGGAACACCTAAATAACTACAACAAAAAAATATATATATATTGTTGGTATAAAAAGTTTCAAAAAACATGAGACTTAAATACGTGGAATAACTGACTTAACATAAACCGTATAATTATTACTAAATATTAATATATTACTGCTCATGGTAAGTATATTCCACACCTACAATTTTAATAATTTCGCTTTATTTCAATAATTTTTATAATAGAACAAAATATAAAATCTTTGTTTGGAGTTTATGATTAACATTCAATACTTTTCTTACTTCTTCTAGACTTTCGTTCACACAGATAAAATACGAAGCACGCGTATTGAACAAAAATTTAGTAAACAAATAAATAATAAATAGTATAAGTGTTAAAAATATATATTGCGATAAAAACTGAGTTTAAGAAATCGCATAGTAAATAAAATATAACTAAATTTAGTAAAAAAAAGTGTTAAGGATAAGTGAAATATTCCATATTTTAAATCGTTTCAAATATTCTAACCAAGCAAATCTAAAAAGTAAAAAATAATCTGCAATAAAAAATGAATTTTTCTAGAAACAACTTTTTTGCCAAAATGTCTGATTATATTCCTCTTGATGACAGATTTTATAACAAATTTGATACACGTAAAACAAAAAACGTTGGGCACAAGTTGTGATTTGATAATATTATGACATTATGCAGTATAAAATTTGATTTAATGCTTTGTTTGTGTAGATTTATTTAAGTGTATCTATTATAATTTAAATATAGTTGGCCATTTTAATGATCAGTGTAAATATTGCACTGATGTATGATTAACGTAAACCGTTAAGTGTTAGTCGATCACTAATCTTTTATCTTATAACATGCACCAATCCTTTATCTTATAACATGCACCAATCCTTTATCTTATAACATGCACCAACCTTTTATCTTATAATGCACCAATCTTTTATCTTATAACATGCACCAATCCTTTATCTTATAACATGCACTAATCTTTTATCTTATAACATGCACCAATCTTTTATCTTATAACATGCACCAATCCTTTATCTTATAACATGCACCAATCTTTTATCTTATAACATGCACCAATCCTTTATCTTATAAAACGTTTTTTGTTTTACGTGTATCAAATTTGTTATAAAATCTGTCATCATTATAAGATAAATTATAATCAGACATTCTGACAAGCTCAAATAAAAATTATTTTCTACTTTTTAGTTGGCTTAAAAAACGTTGCTTTTAGAAAAATTCATTTTTTATTATAGATTATTTTATTTACACATTTATTGCCAAATTAACAAAACATAACAATTTTTAATAGTTCTTAACTGTATGTCTATATTGAACAAACACGTCATTTGATTAATCTAAAAAATAATTGAATTAAAAAAAGGAAAAAATACACCACAGGAAATCAATTTAATTATACATAATAACAAAACAAAGTATATAAAGAAAAGTATATATTTACAGAGCATTGTTGAAAATAGAGCATTGTTGAAAATAGTCAAAATCTGTAAGTAAAGAAATTTATTGCAAAGATAATTAGCTGTTACACAAAATAACAAAAACACAATAGCTATCGGTGCAAACAAATTTTGCAATTTGATCAGAAAATAAAGTAATTTACCTTGATTGTGACAACAAATTTCTTTTTTAACTATTAGCTAATGATCAACTTAGCAAATTTTAAATAATTAAAGTTTACTAAGTTAAAATCATATTTTACCAGTAGACAAAGTAAACATGAGTTAATAGAGTACCAAAGTAGAACTAAAGAAATAAAAGAACTACTAAATTTGCTACGTGATGCATATTATACCTATTGAGTTCTCGCCTAGCCTGATTTCTTTCATTTTGATTACGATTCATCTCAGCTCGCCTAAGCTCATTTATTTCATTTTGACAACGATTTATTTAAGCTCGCCTGCCCGGATTTCTTTTATTTTAAGGAAGTCTAATAATTATACTTCTTAAATTATCACACATAATTAAGCATCAAAGGAGTGTGTAAAAATGATACCTAAAATAATAAAAGTTGAAATTTAATTTTTAGATTGAACTTTGAGTTTTCTTTTTTAAACTTTTATCTAAAATACAGTGTAAGCAAATCTAAAATGTAAAATTATCTAAAATGTAAAAAAATCTAAAATACAGTGTAAAAAATCTAAAATACAGTGTAAAAAAATCTAAAATACAGTTTAAGAAAATAAAACAGAGCATAATATAATCATCAAACTATATTCTACTCTATAATTAGTCATATTCAAATTAGATGTTTTAAAATAATTGAGCAATGTGTAAAGATAACATATTTCTATCAGGAACTTAAACTAAAGTTATAAATAAATTAATATAATTTTTTTAACTATGTAATGTTATATATTTAAGGTAGTTCTTATTAATTATTGACAAAAACTATAAGTATTTAATAAAAAAATAATAATAATTAAAAAATAATTTTTTTACAGGTAAAAACTCAAATTAAGCAAATTGATAAAATTATAAGGTCTGTGCTCAGTAAGTACTGTTAGCATTGAACAGTGAAATGAAATCCTTCATCATAAATCCCTTTCGTTACTTTGAAATGTACTAAATGCAATAAAAAAGTAAATACAAAACTAATAATAGAAAACCTCTATAAACAAACATTTGCTTCAAATGAAAAAAACTTGGGAATATTGAAACTTCTTGAACTATTTTTAATTTTTCTTATATATTTATTATTCTAAAGAAAAAAAGGTCAATAATACAATGCAGAAAAATTAAAATGTGTGTTTGTATGTAAGTATATATGGGTGTATATATATATATAAGGTATATATGAATGGGTATATATATATATATATATATATATATATATATATATATATATATACATATATATATGATATAACTTATGATATAATTCTTTGTATACTTGCCTTTATAAAAAAAAAAAACTATCAATTTAAATTTTTTTAATGAAGGAAATAGAATAGAACTTTATATTTATATACCTCCCCATTTATATATAAATATATAAATGGGGAGGAGCTATTAATAAACAGGAAGCCCGAAAAGAATATATATCTTTTAAACAATTTTTTTTTTTAATTAACAAAATGTTAACAATAAATGATCAGAGTCTTTTCAACAAAAACTTAAAAAGCAACAGTATATAAATATTTAATGAAGTATGTATCTTATAAAATTTACTTAAAATTATAAATATTTAAAAAATTATAGATATTAAAAAAATATATATCTTTTTAACAGTTCTTTTAAACACATTCTTTCAACAATATTTTTTCAACACATTTTATGATTACACTAACTACAAACAGATTTAATCTATGTGTTTCATCATGACAGTACACCACTTTATTTGCACGGACAACATTCTTGCTCTCAACAAAGCCAACTCACATTATAGCAAAATACACCACTTGGCTAGCAAGGTCAACAAACTTGCTGTAAGCTAAGCTAAGCCAAGTCACAACAATTTGAAACCATGCAAACAATATAATAACCACTTACAAACTATAAACACATAAAATTATAACACTCCACAAACATAGAATCACTTACAAAATATAAACCCATATAACCTTAACACATATAAGCACATAATAAATAATACATAAATATAACTAAATATATAAATTAGAAGCATTTATAAAATACAACCTTATTTGTTTAATGATATATCTTGTAATAAATGTTTAACAACTTTAAAACTAACAATCAAACGACCTGGTTTTTTATATTATAAAAGCAAACATATTTTCTTTAATTTCTTTAAAATAAGGTACATTTAAATAGGGTACTAAATGATTTTGTTCTTTACATACAACATGTAAGATGCAAGGGTTTTGGAGATAAACACGTAAATTAACAAGAGTTTGACCTTTTGAAAAGAGAATCGTTTTCTAGAGTTATCATTGTATTCTAATTTTTAAAAATAAAAAATAACAGATTAAAATATGTTAAATAAATTACCTGACTTTAAAAGTTACTATACTCATTAAAAAATAACATAAGGTTTATCCTTTACAACAGAAGTCATCAAATTAAAAAGTTTTTGATCTTATTACTAATTAAACTGATGAAACAAAGTTTTCGATATAATTACTAATTAAGCAAATATTAATAGATTATAAAGATTTAAGAATACCTCATTGGTCAAAAATATAAAGAGAAATATTAAAAGACCAAGTGTGGTAAAAACTCTGTGTCAAAGGGGCACAAATGGGTAACAGCAGCAGCATTAAATCAAGTATTAATTATAAGCGATAGAAACTTAAATAAATAAAAACTTTTTATTAATTATATACAATTAACTCGAATTTTACCCTATTAAGAAATTTTTCAATATTATTTAATAAAATGATAAAATTTTGAATATAGTTTAAAGAGAACTTTCATTAAGAAGAAAATTTGTTTTCATAAAATTTAAAAATTATGTTAAATAATAGATATGGCCTATCAAACTTCAAACCTGCGGCTAGAATATTTCCCAATAAAATTGGTTAACACCCTGTGACCTGTGAAAGTGACCGGCATATAATAACAAGTGTTAAACATTACAACAGGTATTAAAAAGCTTTAATTTTTTCATTAAAAATAAATTTACAAAATAAAAAGTAAAAAATCTGAACATAAAAATAAAAAAATAAAAAACGAATCGACAAAAAGTCTTTAAAAACTAAACACCATCAAAAATGTTAAAACATTTTTTATTGAAGTTCATTTTAAGATTATAAATAAAAAACAAATAAAAACTGCCTAAAAAAGTTTACTTTTAAAATCTATTAGTTAAAATGATATATATGCAAAGTTACAAAATTAGTATAAAATGGTCATAAAATATATAATTTTTGTATAAACAACATTTTAAATAAAAAACGTCAAGTATATATATAAATCCATTTTTTAAATAAGTGTGTAAGTATAATGTACTACACAGTATAGTGTACTACACAGTATAATGTACTACACAGAGTAAAACAACAGCAGAGTTAAAAAAGCAGTTATTAAAAAAAAAAAATTGAAATTTTTTTTAAACACTACACTATTATTAAATAAGCTTAATATGTACTAACACTTATCATATTTAGTTTTATGTTCAATAAACGTATAACAAAAGCTATTAACAACATTTGGTAACAGTTAAGAAATTAATAATGTAATAAATAAAAATTTATTTGTTAAAATATATTCTAAGATCTAAATTTATTTTTCATTTTAAATAACTATGTAATAAAAATTTAATTCAATATAATTCCATAAATATATATACGAGCTAACAACTGCTAATATTTGGACAGTAACTTATTCAATGTCTGTAAATGAATAAATTTTTGCTGAAACATTTCATTCAATATCAAATTTGAAGATTTCTCTTTGGGATAGCAATGTATTGTTTAAAACATATACAATAAAGAAGCATGCATACACACATCAATAATACACTTTAAACTATTGTTTCAAGTTTGGAAGATATCTTTTTTTCCATAGAAATCCCTTTCGAATCTCTAAGACCTTGAGAATCTGTAGTCACATTTGAAGTATGAAAAACTATAACAATTAAAATAAGTTATTGATTATAATCAAGATCGATTATAATTGATCATAACCAACTAGATATTATAATAAGCTATATATAGTACAGCTAAACTTATCTAAATATATATTCACATATCATATGCTACAACTATATATCCCCTATTGAGCTTAAGATTTGTTTATATTGCAGAGATTTCTAAGCTTCTACTTTCAGACTCTAAAGTATTCAAGAAAGTTTTCATACATTACAACACTACAATTAAATGATTAAGAGTCAATTTATATATAAACATTCTTAAGCAATTTAAAAAGATAAATTCTTAGGTACTAATTTAATCACTGAATGTTTAAGAACGATCTACTTTACACTAAATTTTATCAATTGGTTCTCAGGTTCCATAACTTGGTTCCATATTATTCCAATTAGTTCTCAGGTTCAATAACTTTGTATGTATATATATGTATATATATATATATATGTATATATATATATATATATATGTATATATATATATATATATATATATATATATATATATATATATATATATATATATATATATATATATATGTATATATATATATTGTGTATATATATATATATATATATATATATATATATATTGTATATATAATATATAAATATATATATATATATATTGTATATATAATATATATATATATATATATATATATATATATATATATATATATATATATATATATATATATATATATATATATATATATATATATTGTTATAATAACTTAACAACCAAGTAAACCTGGATAAAAAAAAAGTAAACATCTATGTTTTTGTAAATTGCAAAAAAAAGTCAAATTTATCTTTTAAATCATACCAACCTACAACTAAACTCAAATTTAGTGCAAATTTACAAAAATTACTAATAACTAATATATAATTAAAGACAATTACCAAGCTGGCAATATATTATTTTTAATTGCTTCCATTAATGACAGTATTATCCTCTCAAAATTGATCCTTCAGTATTGACCAAAAAAATAATATATTGAGTAAAATAGACTTACTGAGTAGGGTTTTAAAATTAATTAAAATTTAAAATTAATCGATTAACAATCATAGTTGTATTTTATTGCTTCTTCTGATAAAATCAAATCTATTCTGGATTTACAAAAGTTTTTTAAATAACATTTTTAAATTCTAGGAATCATTTTAACATACAGATTAGAGAGTTCCCTTTTGTTTTAGTATCCAGAATAGATAAAAGCTTGTTTTCTAAATCTGATCTACAATTGATATGAAAATTTTAAGCAGTGATTTTTTCAAATGCACGAGGACTTTAGAAACTTTTGATACAATGTCATAGTGTTTTTATTGAACAATATCATAGGTACAATATTATCTCTAAAGTGCATCTCCTCATCAACAGTAATTCTTTCCTCATTCCAACATTCTTCATTGTCATTATCATTATCAGGATAGAAATTTGCCTTGTCATTAAATAGTCCTTTTCCAGTTGTTTTTATTGCTAAAACTTTTTCTTATAAAGAATATCATATACAGCAAAATGAAATCCATATCAATACTAAAGTTTGTAACTCCGCCATTTCTTGCCCCATTTTTTTCATAACTAATGCATCATCAGTAACGCACCCAAAGATATCATTGATCAAATTTAAAACAAAATCATTTAACTTGTTAATAACAATATTAGCTGCCCTTTTTGAAGTGATTTGTTCTAATCATTCCAACACCATAATGAAATTTGTCTGAACACTGTACATTAAGACACAAATAACATTTAGTTCCTTCTTATAGTTCCTCCTGATATCCACTCATTAAGAGAAATTGAAAACCCTTTTCAAGTTTATTTATTTGCTGAAACTCTCGAGCAACTTTTAACTTTACTTTTTTAATCTATTACCAATTTTTATATTTACATTTATGTTTACTTTCGACCAAGTTCGAAAGTAAATATAAATGTAGTAGTTCGAAAATAAACAAGCTGTGTATCTTCATACTTTAAAAAAAGTATGAAGATACACAGCTGTTATAATAGCTAACTTATTTATTTATTATTACTAATAGCAAACTTATTTATTATTACTAATAGCTAACTTATTTATTATTACTAATAACTAACTTATTTATTATATATATATATATATATATATATATATATATATATATATATATATATATATATATATATATATATATATATATATATATATATATGTATATATATATGTGTATATATGTATGTATGTATATGTGCGTATATATATATATATATATATACACACACACACACACACACACATACACACACTCATAAATATATATGCATATATATATATATATATATATATATATATATATATATATATATATTTATATATCTGTCTTCTCGATTTAGCCAGGTAACAATTTAGTCTTTTCGCGCTAGCCCACACACCTGCAAAAACCTTGGCAAGCACATAAAAAAATGATTGCAATAAAATTAAAGCGATTTGTTTTAAATTGCAACATAGCTATTTTTTTCATTTGTTAACTTTTATTAAGCTTTTTTTTATCAGTTTTTTTTTTAATTATTTTATCTAGTATTTATTCAAATCTTTATGAAACTTTTATTTTGATTTAAATAGCAGAAAAAAATGAATTTTTTAAATTGTGCAGGCTTAAAAATGTTGGCATTAAATTTTAAACAAAGAAGACTGATATATATATATATATATATATATATATATATATATATATATATATATATATATATATATATATATATATATATATATATATATATATATATATATATATATATAGAGAGAGAGAGAGAGAGAGAGAGAGAGAGAGATAGATATAGATATAAACATATATATATATACAGTGGCGTACCTTTCCTGGTCGCCCTGCGGGCAACTGAAACAGCTTCTATTTCTCATTTGAGTTGTCAGCTATGATAATCAGTAGTCCGGTGCAAAAGCTTTTATTTTGTGTTTTTATAAAAAGGTTGTTATTATGAAAACGTTACTAATAGTCCGTAACATATGTAACAAACTGTCTAGTCGTCCAGCTGGGATACTGACAGACTTTTTTTTAAAACTTTTTTTTTAAAAAAAGTCGTCCTGTGCCATATATATGTGTGTGTGTATATATATATGTATATATATATGCATATATATATATATATATATATATATATATATATATATATATATATATATATATATATATATACATTTATATATATATACACATATATATGTATATATAAACAGTACTGGAATTATTAATATGGATTTTTTATACTTTTGCTAAACTCCATTAATTAAGGCAGCAAAAAAGTTTTCAGTGGTCCATAAAAAACATTTTTTTAGTTAAAATACATATTTATAGTAAAAAAAATATTTTATCGTGAAATAAAATCCATTAGTATCTAATTTTTATCATTTAAAGGGTAAATTAAGAACTTTTGCTGAAAATTACATGTAGGTGGTGAAATAAGTTAATTTGAGTTTGCATCACTTTCTTTTTACTCTCTGTGGTGTATGGCGTACTTGGTATGTACTAGGACTCTACAAATCTCAAGTTTTGGTTCTGAACAAATAAAAAAGTAATTCTTCATCAAGATCTTTGACATTTTTGACCGATTTTGAAGTGATGGGGAAAAGAAAAGGTCTGAGTCCTAAAAAGAAAAAAAGGACAAAACTGTGTTTTGTTGGAGAATAGTGACCTAAAACAAAAGGAGATAGCTAAGAAATTGAATATTTTAACACAAACAGTTAGTGTAGTGAAAAAAAAATTGGATGAGGGTAGAAAGCTTGAAACTGGAAGAGTTGGAACATGTTGGAACATGGTCATAGAAGAATCACTACCCCTAGACTTGAGAAAAAGATCAAAGTAATGGCTCTCAGTGATAAAAGATGTTCTTGCAAGAAGATATTTATGGAGTTAGCAAATCAAGGCTTTAATGTAAACCGTAAAATAGTGAATAATTGCTAGCTGGAGCAGAGACTGAAAGCATACAGACCAAGGAAAAAGCCAAGACTGACGGACCAAATGAAGCATGTCAGACATGGATGGGCTGTTGAGCATGAAACCTGGATGCAGGAAAATTGGTCCAAGGTAATTATTATTTTTTTCTTTCTATTAGAACTCTGATAGCATTAACTTTTAATTTCTTTCAATTTCATCATGTTTTATGATTAATTTCATTAGCTGTTGATCATGACTATTAATATACCGTTTTTAATTTGATATTTATCATGCATTTTTTTAATTCAGGTTGTATTCTCAAATGAGTCAAGAGTTGCTGTGTTAGATGATAGGGTCCAGACAGGCAGAAAAAGGCCTAGAGGGGTGTTCAAGGCTGAGTGTCTAAAGTAAACATTGAAGTTCATTATAAAGTTCATGGTATAAGGAGCGATATCCATCAATGGAACAGGCCGCCTACATATTGTAGAAGGAATGATGAACCAGAGAATGATTATAGAGTTGTTGGAGAAATGTTTGGTTCCTCAAATCAGAGACTGGTTCACTTATAAAGACTGTACAATTCAACAGGATAGTGCTCCATGCCATGCAGGCAAGCTGTCAACAACATAGTTCCGCAATGTTTTATTTATAACTTTTTCATTCATAAAACAATTTCCATTAACACTTACTAACAGTTTAATCGTTGAACTCAATAAAACAATAACTGCTTTAATGATAATAAAAGTAAAGGTTTAGTTGTATATATTTCATAATGAAATTTTTCCTTTACAATCCGTTCATACATATACATACATATATAATCCGTTTATACATATACATATACATATATATATATATATATATATATATATATATATATATATATATATAATATATATATATATATATATATATATATATATATATATATATATATATATATATATATATATATATATATATATATATGTATATATAATCTGAAGATATTTTGCATTGTAGAAAAAGCATTGTAAAAAGAAAAAAAATAATACTTTACTTACATCGAGAAATAAATGTTTTCATTTGAGTTTTGAAAAAAACAATTAAAATGATAGCTCCAATAATTGCAAGCAAACCAAATGCTACTAAAACTATAGCTATGGTAAAATCAAAGATTTTGATTTCTAAAAAGAAAGTTGAAAATTTTGTTTTAGTATCATATTTTTGTTAATAAATAAACAAAATCTAATGTATTAGTAAGCACAAAAATCTTACTGATAAGTAAAAGTATGGAAAGGTTTTTGCATTAATGAGGTTTATAAAAATTACTCACAATCTTAGTTTTATCAAATAAAATAAAAAAATTATAAAGGAAAAAACATAACATAAAAAATTAAAAAAAAAGAAAAAAGGAAAAAAATTAAAAAGAAAGTTTCTTTTTTTAATTTTTTAAGTACAATACTTAGTACTTAATATTTATGATTTTAAACTTTTATTTATTTATTTTTGTTTACTCAATATCAAGTATTATATTTAGTATTTATTATTTGAAAAATTTATTTATACAAACATAGATATAAAATTGCAAACCTAATTGGCTAACTTTTTCTTTTAATTTTTTCTTTTGATTGATATAATATTCTGATAAGTTTTGATTTTCTTTCAGTGCAGATTCAAGACCTAAATTAATTAGTACATTTGTATATGTAATGTATACAAACTTAAATGTGTATATTCACAATAAATTATATATACATACAGTGGTTAGAGTTAGGCAACGTGAAATTTTATTTGTTTTTAAAGCTTATTTAAACGCTCTCAAAACAATATAAGCATTTTTTATCATAATTTTATCATAAGAATTGGCCATATGGGCTCAAAAAGATTACTTCTTCCTAGTTTTTGGTAACCTGGAGCTCTAAAAAATATAAATAAGTCTATGTACTACTAATAGGAAGAAAAAAAAAGACTTTTAGGAGGAACAATCATTTTTTGAACCCGGAGTCCTTAGGTATAATGGCGGCAAGGACTCTGGGACTCCAGGACTCCGGGCCTAAAAACAACAAGTTTCAAATCATTAGATCTCATGAAATTTTTAATTATAGCAAAAAAGTTAACAAATGTTAAGAGCTTCTGGATACTACAGACTTGGAAAAAGTAGAGATATAAAGCCGGACTCCTTCGAGAACACGAAGAAAAAAAATGTCTACTTTAAAAGTAATGATTATAAAATAACTGCAGAAGAAAATTTAAAAAAAAACTTTTTTTCTGAAAAAAATTTTAATAAAACATAAGTTTAAATTAAAGTAAAACAAGTCTAAATTATTTTTTTTTTTTAACACAATAAAGTTTATTTTACACAATTAATATTTACACAATTAATTTTCTGTATCGATTCTAATTAGCTACCACAATAGACATTGAGGCTAATGGCTATTGGAACATGGATAAAGAAAACACTGCTTTCCAAGGTAGACAAACGATAATAAAAAATGCAAATTAAAATAATTTTTTAAAATTGAGCATGCTAACCTAATAATACTTTACTACCGACCACACTTTTAAGCACTCACAATAAATTACAAATAGAATTAACTGGAATATATAAATATATATATATATATATATATATATATATATATATATATATATATATATATATATATATATATATATATATATATATATATATATATATATACATAAATTTTTAATATCAAAAAATAACTTATAACTTAAAAAGCAGATTTAGTTTTATAGTTGCAACAACAATATTATTATTATTTATATAAATTTATAAAAACATTGTTATAAATGATATTCCTATTTATCAACATTTGTTTCAAAACTATTGTAAAATATTATGAAAATTAAAAAACATCTACTTTTGTTGCTTTCATAAAGCGCTATTGCATTCTTTTCATATATTGTCTTTAAAATGGTATAATATTCTGTCAGATTTCAATATTCCTGCTGTGCAGATTTCAGTTCTAAATTAAATGGTACATCAATATGTAAACTTTATTTTATGTGGATGTGTTTGAATAAATAAATAAATAAATAAATAAATAAATAAATATATATATATATATATATATATATATATATATATATATATATATATATATATATATATATATATATATATATATATATATATATTGGCATGAACAGTGGAAAAAAGTTCACAACAATATAAAATCAGTGCCATATCTACTCAAATGTCTTAAATAACTTGGACACACTCAGTCCAACCTTTTACAGGTCTACCGATCTTACGCTATTAGCCACTTAATATATAGTGCTCCTATTCTTACTTCATGCAGTGCTGCTGCAAAAAGAGAGATCCAACATTTTCATAAAAATGCCCTACACATTATTGGAATTGATGTAACCAATTCAAGCTTCAATATTACTTTTGACGTTGAAGAGTTACTAGACAAGATCTGTAATAATATACTCAGAAAGATCCTTGCAGACTCATGCCATCCGATAACCACTAAATTAACTCTCACCAACAGCAGAAACCCTTATAGATTCCTGTATGCTCTTAACACCGCAAAAACTACTACTTACCAAAAATCTTTTATTCAAAAATATCTCCGTATCCTTCGAGATGTCATCAGTGACCTTTACCTCCCAAGCAATATTGGGAGCTTTACTGCCTTTTCAATGCATAATTGATGTAGTTTAAAAATAAATTTGTAATATTAAAAAATGACTTAAAACTTAAAAAGCAGAATTAGTTTTATAGTTGCAACAACAAAATTAGTAAATATTCGTATTATTTATATAAACATATAGAAACGTTATTATTTATATATAAATAATGATATTATAAATAATATTACTATTTATTAACATTTGTTTAAAAACTATTGCAAAATATTGTGAAAATTAAAAAACATCTACTTTTGTTGCTTTCAAAAAGTGCTATTGTTTTCTCTTCAGATACATTCTTTAAAATGGTATAATATTCTGTTAGATTTCGATATCCCTGCTGTACAGATTTCAGTTCTAAATTAAATGAAACATCAATATATAAACTTTATTTCATGTGTATGTGTTTTAATGTTTACAGTTAGACATGCAATTTGGAAAATGTTTTAAATTTACAGTTAGTAGTAAAAAATGGCTCTTAACAACTATTTGTCTTTAAAAATAATAAGATCAAATACAATTTATGCAAAAACTATTAAATTTAAATGACTTCAAATTTTTATGTTGTTTATTAAGATGAAAAAGAACAAGAAAACTAACTTGCTTTCAATTAGTTTGTTCTGACGCCTAGGGCCGGATTTACCTATAGGCC